TGTCCTCCTTCTGATCTATCCTTTCAGGGTGCATACCTAAATTTCTCTCCTCTAAAAATGCCTGCTTCTTCAGACAATTTAGCCTGAGTTCTTATTTCTTCAGCTCCTGGTCTAGCCCTGTTAAGCAGCTTTGGACAAGATCTGTCAGAATGTCTTGTGGATGACTGATCACATAAGCAGTAAATTTAATCTGTTTAGCAGTTCTGATCCTTATCCCCTCCTGAGTGTCTGTTTTCCAGTGGTGTTTGGATTATAAGGAGTTAATGACTATGGAACATTTTGCAAAAGATCTACACTAAGTCACTTGTACCATATATCTCCCCATATTAAGGCTCAAACTTAGAGAAATTTAACAGACATCACTTAGCACCTCTGTTCTATACATTCATTCTAGGCAATTGTCTTTATTTCCTTTTATATATCATTAACTATTATTTTAATGATTCTGACATTGACTCACATTATCAAAGGTGGGTTCTGATCTTCTCATTTGTAAAAATACGTTCAGTGTGTCACTTGAAAGAGTTGGGTTTGAGGGCTGGGAAGGTGGCTCAGTGGTAGAGCGCTTGCTTTGCATGCATGAGGCCCTGGGTTCGATTCCTCAGCACTACATAAACAAAAAGAAAAAAAACAGAAGTGGTGCTATGGCTCATGTGGTAGAGTGCTAGCCTTGAGCTGAAGAGCTGAGGGACAGCGCCCAGGCCCAGAGTTCAGGCCCCATGACCAGACCCCCCCCCCAAAAAAAGAAAGAGTTGGGTTTGGATAAGAACAGCATCAAGGATGATAATAATGACAACAAATTATATATTGTATATATTTTTATTTTTTTGCTGATGATTCATTTACTAATGTAACTGATGTTAAAATAAAATATAATTACAGGGCTAGGAATGTGGCTTAGTGGTAGAGTGCTTGCCTAGCATGCATGAAGCCCTGGGTTCCATTCCTCAGTACCACATAAACAGAAAATGCTGGAGAGTGCTAGCCTTGAGCAAAAAAACAGTGCCCAGGCCCTGAGTTCAAGCCCCTGGGCTGGCAAAAAACAAAAAACAAAAACATAGATTTTTTTTTTTTTGGCCAGTCCTGGGTCTTGAACTCAGGGCCTGGGCATTGTCCTGAGCTTCTTTTGTTCCAGGCTAGTGCTCTCCAACTTGAGCCACAGCGTCATTTCTGGTTATTCTTTTATGTGGTACTGAGGAATTGAACCCAGGGCTTCATGCATGCTAGGAATGCACTCTTACCACTAAGCCATATTCCCAGCCCAGATTTTAGTATTTATTTATTTTTGTCAGTTGTGGGGCTTGAGCTTTGGGCCTGGGGGCTGTCCCTCAGCTCTTCAGCTCAAGGCTAATGCTTTACCTCTTGAGCCACAGGGCCACTTCTGGCTTTTTCTGCTTAACTGGTGCTAAGGAATCAAAACCAGGGCCTCATGCATGCGAGGCAAGTACTCTACCACTGAGCCACATTTCCAGGCCCTTATTTATTGTTTTAAGGGCAGGTTTTATTTTGTTACCCACGCTGATCTTGAACTTGCAATCATTCTGTCTTGGCTGCCCCATTGCTGCCCCACTTACCACCACAAACCTTAAGATATAATTTAGAAAGTGCCTAGCACAATACCCTACTGTACTAGGTGTTCAATGAATCATAAATATTATTTTTAGGGCTGGGAAGGTGGCTCAGTGGTAGAGCGCTTGCCTTGCATGCTCAAGGCCCTGGGTTCGATTCCTCAGCACCACATAAGAAAAAAGCCGGAAGTGGCGCTGTAGCTCAAGTGGTAGAGCGCTAGCCTTGAGCTGAAGAGCTGAGGGACAGCACCCAGGCCCAGAGTTCAGGCCCCATGACGGGACCCAAAAAAAATATATATTATTTTTATTATTTACATCAGTTTCTTAGCTTTAGTATTTAGTAAGAGCAAATTTAATTAAAAGAGGCTAAGTTAAAATGGCAAAATTTAGCTAAAGATAAAATTTGAAAAATATATGAGAATTGTTAGTTATTATTTGGGGTTAATCCATTCTTAGAAATGTAAACTCCTGGGTGGGGAGGGGGAAGGGATGGGAAGGGGAAACAAAGGAGGAGGCAACAATGCTTTATAAGAAATGTACTCATTACCTTGCCCATGTAATTGTAACCCCTCTGTACAGTTTTTTCACAATAAAACAACAACAACAACAAAAAGAAATGTAAGCTCCTAGAAGTGGGGGAATGGAGAAAGAGCAACAAAGGCAATAAAGGGTATTATTCTGGTGTGAGAGAGAGGAGGGGGAGAGAATGAGCAAGAGGGAGTGAGGCAGAAAGAGAAGGAAATGTAAGCTGCTAAAAGAAAGGACTTGATGGTAGATCAGCATCATAGCGATTATGTCTAATGCTATTCCAGGTCAATGATATTCAATCTTAGATTGTAAGAGGTTGTACCTCTGTGTGAGACACTTACTTCATCTGCCAAACATAGTGAGTAAGGACAATTACACATTATAGAAACATTGTGCTATTGTGTTAGAACATTGTATCCCAGTTTCCTTTGTTTTGGGTTTTGTTTGTTTGTCAGTCATGGGACTTGAACTCTGGGCTTGGCCGCTGTTCCTGAACTCTTCAGCTCAAGGCTAGCGCTCCATCACTTGAGCCACAGTGCCACTTCTAGCATTTTTCTTTTTGCTTATGTGGTGCTGAGGAATCAAACCCAGGGCCTCATGCCTGCAAGGCAAGCGCTCTGTCACTGAGCCACCTTCCCAGCCCCGGCCATGAAACTCTTATCTCCAATAAACCACCAGAAAAACAGAAGTGGCACTATTGCTCAAGTGGTAGAGCTCTAGCTTTGAGATAAAGAGCTGAGGGACAGCGCCCAGGCCCAGAGTTCAAGTCCCAGAACCAAAGAGCGAAGGAGAGAGAGAGAAAAAGAGAAAGAAAGAAAGGAAGAAAGAGAGAAAAAGAAATGTCTTGCTGGGCACTAGGTGCTGGTGGGTCCTGCCCAGGGGTCTGGGATCTGAAGATCCCACTCTTATCTCCAAGTAACCACCAGAAAGTCAGAAGTGGATCTGTGGCTTAAAGTGGTAGAGTGCTACCCTTGGGCTCAGGGACAGTGTTCAGGACCCGAGTTCAAAACCCACAACTTAAAAAAAAAGAGGAATGCTTTATATGTATTATTTTAACTGAGTTCTAATTTCATTTCCTTCTTATTATTACTTTTTGTAATACAAAGATACTCATGTTCTCTTTAACAAAGTGAGATTCTATCAGTCCCTTCCCTACAAAAACATGGTCCTACAGCAAATTATTATTGTCCCATGAAATACTCTCAAATCCGTACATAGTGCTTGTAGACCTGAAAGTTTAATGTAAAGTTAGAAATAGAGATTTTGGGGCTGGGAAGTTGGCTCAGTGGTAGAGTGCTTGCCTCGAATGCATGAGGCCCTGGGTTCGATTCCTCAGTACCACATAAGCAGAAAAAAGCCGGAAGTGGCGCTGTGGCTCAAGTGGTAAAGCGCTAGCCTTCAGCTGAAGAGCTGAGGGACAGCGCCCAGGCCCAGAGTTCAGCCCACACGACCGGATCAAAAAAAAAAAAAAAAGAAATAGAGATTTTGTAGATTTATATGCTACTTGATAATTTTCATTAAGCCATTTATTCATTTATTTCAAAATGGAGGCTTGATCTCAGAGCCTTACCCTTATTCATCTTGCTTGCTCTGTTGGCACTGTACCACTTGAGTGAAGCCTACCAGCCTTTTTTGTCTTTGAGCCAGGAGCCAGTAGCTCACCCCTGTAATCCTAGCTATTTAGAAGGCTGAGATCTGAGGATCATGGTTCAAAGCCAGCCCAAGCAGGAAAGTCCATGAGACTCTTATCTCCAATAAACCACCAGAAAACCAGAAGTGGCACTGTGGCTCAAGTGGTAGAGTGCTCACCTTGAACTAAAGAGCTGAGGGACAAGCATCCAGGCCCAGAGTTCAAGGCCCATGACCGACAAAAAAAAAAAGAGAGAGAGAGAAAGAAAGAAAGAAAGGTCTTCGAGGGCTAGGAATGTGGCTCAGTGCTTGGTTTAGCATGCCCTGGATTCAATTCCTCAGTACCACATAAACAGAAAAAGCTGGAAGTGGTGCTGTGGCTCAAGTGCTAGTCTTGAGCTGAAAAACTCAGGGACAGCACCCAGGCTCAGAGTCCAAGCTTCATGGCTAGCCAAAAAAAGAATAAAAAGAAAAAAGAAATGTGTTTGAATTTGGCAAAGGAGCTAGAGTTGTAATTCAGAGATAGAGTAGATACTTAGCATCCATACAAGCCCGAGTTTGTGTTCTAGCATTACCAAAAGACAGCAATAGCCAAAAGAAAAAAAGAAAAAAGATTAAGAATTGCCTCTGCCTTCTTCTAACATTCTTTTAGATTTAGTTATCAGCTTCTTTCTCTCTTTCCCACCCTCCCTCTCCCTCTTATCAGTCCTGGAGTTGGAACTTGGGAACTTGTGCTTGCTAGACAGTGGTCTAACTTTAACATTCCCACAGTCTCTGTTGGGCTTAGCAGTAAGAGCACTTGTCTAGCAAGTGTGAGGCTATGAGTTCAACTCCCAGTTCTGCCAGAAATAAGATATGTTTCAGCTGGATGCCGGTGGCTCACACCTATGATCCTAGCTACTCAGGAGTCTGAGATCTGAGGATAGCAGTTTGAAGCCAGCCCAGGCTGGAAAAAGTCCATGAGACTCATATACTTAATTAACCACCAGAAAACCAGAAGTGGAGCTGTGGCTGAAGGTGTTAAAAAAAGCTCAAGAACAGTGCCCAGCCCTGAGTTCAAGCCCCACAACTGAAAAAAAAAAAAAAAGTTCTATGCCCATGACATAGCCATGCTTCTCTATTAACATTTGTACCACTTCCCTCTTGTTTTTTTGATATGCTTTGGTCCCAGAAGCTGTTGTGTTTTCATGTCAATTCTCAGTGTGTTTCTGAGCTTTACTTCTTGTTTGTAATGCATTTATAATCATGTATGATTTCTTTGGGCTTTCCATACAGGTGATAGCTCTTTCTTCCTCCGCACCTGGCTCATGACCCCACTTCACATTCCTGAAACTCCTGTGGAATATCGCTATAATAGGGCTCATTCTGCAACTCACAGTGTGATTGAGAAGACTTTCCGAGCTCTCTGTTCCCGTTTCCGCTGCCTGGATGGATCCAAGGGGGCACTCCAGTATTCACCAGAGAAGTCCAGCCACATCATCTTGGCTTGTTGTGTCCTCCACAACATCTCCTTGGAGCATGGGATGGATGTTTGGTCCTCTCCAGTGTCAGGACCTGTTGAACAGCCCCCTGAGGAAGACTATGAGCACATGGAGTCTCTGGACTTAGAAGCTGACCGCATCCGTCAGGAGCTGATGCTTGCTCATTTTAGCTAATGTGAAATGTGGGGAAGAGAGAGACTTTCTGGAAGAAATTGTGACAGCCTTTCTCCTTCCTCACCACACTTGACACAGTTCTATCATCCAGCATTATTGAATGTACATACTTGTCATGAATTGATACTTAATCTGTGTTCTAGAAGAGTTGATGCTGTGCCAGAATTATCTTGGTTCATTTGCAAATTTGTCAACTAAATCAAAGCAAAGACAAGGGCTCCTTGTTATCTGGCAAACTTCAGGTTGTGTGTGCATTACTCATTTGTGAGCTCACAGGCTGCAATTTTTTATTGTGCTTCTACAGACATAGTGAAGGAGGAAGCAGCACAGAGCCAAAATACTTTTTTTAGTTTCAGTTATCCAGAGATTTCAAATGAAAACAATATTTGTTTGTCCCAAATGACTTTTAGTTTTTGTATTTTGCTGCCTTTATATGGGCAAATGTGAAGAGGGAGTTTATTTGGGAAGTGGTCTTCTAAAATAAATGAGAACAGAATTCAAATATAGATAAAATAGCAATAGTATACTTACAAGACTAACAACCATGCCAGTTTGATAGGCAAAGGAGATTGATGCAGGTTTAGAGAGGTCAGATTTAACTAAATCATGCTATTGGCATTTCAACTCAGGACTTTGCCACTTGCCACCATGCCTACAAGCCTTTTTGCTGGTTGTTTTAGAGGAGTCGAGAAAAATTTTCTTTCTAGGCTAGCATAGAGCCAAAAGGACCACATTTCTTTCTTTCTTCTTTTGTTTGTTCTGGGGCTTGAACTCTGGGCCTGGGTGCTGTCCTTGAGCTCTTCAGCTCAAGAGACATGATCTATCACTTGAGCCAAAGCACCATTTCTGATTTTCTGCTGATTAATTGGAGATAAGAGTCTCCTGAAACCAGGTGCTGGTAGCTCACACCTGTAATCCTACTAGGAGGCTGAGATTTGAGGATCACAGTTCACCGCCAGCTTGGGCAGGAAAAGTCTGTGAGACTCTTATCTCCAATAAACTACTCAAAAAACCGGAAGTGGTGCTGTGGCTCAAGTGATAGAGCTCTTGCCTTGAGCTGAAGAGCTGAGGGACAGCGCCCAGGACCAGAGTTCAAGCCCTATGACCAACCATAAACAAAAAAGAGTCTCATGGACTTTCCTGCCCAGGCTCACTTTGAACCATGATCCTCTGATCTCAGCCTCTTGAGTAGCTAGGGTTGGTCATTTCTGTTTTGAAATTCTTTATATAGAATTTTGAGAATAGCATTAGAAAGTATTCAGAAGGAGAGGTAAAAGGAATATATTTGGATGGAGATTCTAGAATTACATATGCAATGTGAAAGAACTTCCTAGGAAATAAATAATCCCTTAACAAGTCTTATTCTAAAAGTATTCTGATCTAAAAATAACCTGATTGGAATAATAAAAGTGTGAATCGAGTTCACACATTAGTGCCTTTGCAGGGACAAAAAAGGTGATTTTTCTGAGGATTGTCTTGTTCACAGTTTCTCAGCCACTCACCATGTGATACCTCTGCATTGTCCTCTTGGATCTTTTCCTACATATATTTTGCAGTGCCAGTCTGGTGATTCTCACCAGTAATACACAGCTGATAATAGAACTGTGGGAATAAATTGGATGTGACTCATCCTCAATATTAAAAACAATTATGAATAATTATGGATAATGTTTATTTCCACTGTGAATGCTGTTTTTCATCACTCCCTTACTCTGTATGAAGAGTTCGGTCCATTGGGCAGGAGGTTATACTTCATATGGAAATGCCATTGAGTTGTGAGTAGACAATAGGAACAAGGGTATCCTGCTACATTATTTTTCTTGGTATAAATGGTTTTTTCTAGCACATACTGTGCAGTACTCTACCACTGAGCAATACCTCAACTTGTATACCAAACTTGCTTTTGTCTCTTTCATGAGGCATATAGCCAGGCTGACCTGAGATTCAGGATCTGCCTCACCGTCCTGGATGCTGAGATTACAGACAATGTACTATGATATTCAACTCAGACTTTCTTTTCCTTTATTTTTATTTTTTGGGAGGGCGGGGGGTTGAACTCAGGGCTTTGTGCTTGCTATGCTAGAATGCAACTTTTTTTTTTTTTTTTTTTTGCCAGTCCTGGGCTTTAACTCGGCCTGGGCATTGTCCCTCAGCTCTTCAGCTCAAGGCAAGCACTCTACCACTTGAGCCACAGCACCACTTTCAACTTTTTCTGCTTATGTGGTGCTGAGGAATCGAACCCAGGGCCTTATGCATGCAAGGCAAGTACACCTTCCCAGCCCTGGAATTCAACTTCTTGAGCTATGCCTCCAGTATTTTTTTCCTCTCCCATTATTGTTTTTCCTAGCCCTCAGCTTCTCCCCTCTTGTTATGTTCAAGACAGGATTTCTCTGGGCCAACCTGGACCATGAACTTTATATTTATGCTTCTGGAATGACAAGTGCAGCTTTTCTGTTGAGGAGAGGTCTTACGAACTTTTCATTCTTGCTGGCCTACAACTTTGGTCTTCCTGATTTCTATTTCCCTAGTAACTATGGTTACAGGCATTAATTAAGCCATAGGTACCTTACTTTATCCCCTACCTCTTTCTCGGTGTCAATACTGATAGGGCTTGAACTTGGCCTTACACTTTCACTTGTTTTTTTTTTCCACTCAAAGGTGGCACCCTACCACTTAAGCCAAACCTCCATAATTCTCTCACAGACTTTTCTGCCCTGGCTTGTTTTGAACCTTGATCCTCAGATCTCAGCCTCTGGAGTAGTTGGGTTTACATGTTTAAGCTACTTAGGCCAGGGAAAGATACTCAATGAGGTGCTGATGAAGAGATATAAGTGGTGAGTATGAAGTAAAATAGAAACTAGGGCCAGGCACTGGTGGCTTAGGCCTGTAATCCTAGCTACTCAGGAAGCTGAGATCTGAGGATCAAGTTCAAAGCCAGCCCAGGGCAGGAAAATCTGTGAGACTCTTATCTCCAATAAACCACCAGAAAACCAGAAGCAGCACTGTGTCTAAAATGGCAGAGTGCCGGCCTTTAGCTGTAGAGCTGAGGGACAGCGCCCAAGCCCAGAGTTCAAGCCCCATAACCTACAAAAAAAAAAAAAAAAGAAACTAGATAGGTAATAGACCATGATCTGTGGAATTGAGGATTGAGCCGAGTACCTTGTATATTCTAAGCATATGCTCTATCCCTGAGCTATCCCTACCTTAAGCATTCTGAAAACACTGGAGAGATTATGAGGAATACAAGAAAATAAGAAATTGAAAGGTCTTACCATTGTGTGTGTGCATGTCCTCAGGCCCCATTTCGCTCTCTGCATCCCACCAATAATTTATAAATTGAGGGCATGAGAGAAAACAGGCTCAAGATTAACATGTCCCAATTCTTTTTAGAGAATCAACATCCTCCAATTCCTTGTTTAGTCTTTCCAAATTCTTTCCTTATGATTGACAGTGGAAAGATCCATTCTTAGAGTGACCAACTGTCCTGGTTTGCCCAGGGTTGTCACAATTTCAGCACTATAAATCCTGTGTCCTAGAAAACCCCTCTGTCCCAAGAAAGCTGGGATAATTGATTATCCTGCTTCAGGGGAATCATACTTCCTCCTCCTGCTCCTCCCTCCCTTCCTCCCTTCCTTCCTTCCTCCCCTCTTCCTCTTCCCCCTCCTCCTCCTCCTTCCTCTTTTTCTTGTGACTGTCTTGGGCTTGAACTCAGGGCTTGTGCTGTCCCTGAGCTTTTTAGTTCAAGACTAGAATTCTACCACTTGAGCCACAGCTCCACTTCTAGCTTTTTGGTGGTTAATTAGAGACAAGTCTTACAGACTTTCCTGCCCAAACTGGCTTTGACTTGGGATCCTCAATCTCAGCCTCTGGGGTAGCTAGTGGAGTGGACCCTGAGATGGAGCCCAAGCTTGTATAATTCCATTTTGAGCTTTGCCTTTGTTTTAGGGTTTTTAGACTTGATGGGCCTAGTTCCCAGAATTAAAAAAAAAAAAAAAAAAACAGGCATCTGGTCCCCCTCCCCTTAACAAGGTAAAAATGTAACCCACCCTTAATTGTTGAGTTAAAGATTGACCCATAAAAACAGATAGGTTGTAATCAGGTGACACCACTAGTTTAAGGTAAACCCTGCCTTTTGCACAAGCTTATGGTAAACTCCACCTTTTGCCCAACAAAAGGTAGATCTTTTAAACCAAGGTGATAGGCTGGTTTAAACACCAATTAAAAACTGTAACCTCATTGGCCACCTGTGTGTGGTCTGGTATGACTGTACAATCCTTTGTGTGTGTTACGATCCCATAGGTCACCTGCACACACATGACCAGGTTTGACCTTCTGGATTTTGCCTTTAAAAAACAAAGAATGGGGGATGCTCACCGCTCGGGGTCATCATATCAGCTCCTGAGCCCGTGCTGTGCCCCTGACCAGTCAGTATAACAAACCTTCTCAATAAAGTTGCTTCTTTGTTAACAACTTTGTTGTGGTGGGGTCTGTCATTCAGGACAACTAGGTGGGCTTGCCTGCTTGAGTAGGGGTTCTCCTACTACACTAGGATTACAGGTGTGAGCCACTAGCACCCAGCTTAAACCCAGTGTTATAAAAGAATTCACTGGGAGCTGGGAAGGTGGCTCAGTGGTAGAGCGCTTGCCTTGCATGTATGAGGCCCTGGGTTCGATTCCTTAGCACCACATAAGCAAAAAGAAAAAAGCTGGAAATGGTGCTGTGGCTCAAGTGGTAGAGCACTAGCCTTGAGCTGAAGAGCTGAGGGACAGCGCCCAGGCCCAGAGTTCAGGCCCCACAACCAAAAAGAAAAAAAAAAAAAAGAAATGTTACAAAATTACACTGCTTTAATTAAGTCTTTAAAGGTGGCTCATGCCTTTGATACTAGCAACTTGAGGAGGCTGAGATCTAAGGATGGAGTTGTTTTTTTTTGGGGGGGGGGTTCCAGTCGTGGGGGCCTGAAGTCTGGGCCTGGGCGCTGTCCCTCAGATCTTCAGCTCAAGGCAAGTGCTCCACCACTGAGCCACCTTCCCAGCCCTTTTTTTTTTTTTTTTAAACAAGAATTACAAGCACATTAAAAAGTATGAAATGCTGCTGGGAAGGTGGCTCAGTGGTACGTGCCTTGTATGCATGAGGCCCTGGGTTCGATTCCTCAGCACCACAAAAGCAGGAAAAAGCCGGAAGTGGTGCTATGGCTCAAGTGTAGAGCTCTAGCCTTGAGCTGAATTGTTGTGGGACAGCGCCCAGGCCCAGAGTTCAGGCCCCACAACCAACCAAAGAAAAAAAGAAAAAGAAGTTGGGGGAAGGGAAAAAACAGATGGCTTAAATAGGGATACAGATG